TACCTCAGCAATTGAGTTTTCTGATTTTAATTGGCTCCTCTTTATTGTTTCTATTTACTTTTTATAGTATAATGCATTGCTGTCAAAAGTCTCTTATTTCCTTCAGTGCTTTTATCATCTCCTTTTTGAACTCAGGTTCTGGTAGACTATAGAAGTCTACTTCATTGTTTGCTCTTTCAGGAAACTTCTTTTGTTCTTTTAATTGGGAGTGGTTTCTCAGCTGCTTCATTTTACTTTATTTCTCACTATGAATTTAGGAGTAACAGTTATCTACTATAGTCTTGAAGGACTGTTTGCATGTGGGGGTGTCCTTGTGTAGACTGTGTACATTTGATATTTTTGTTGCAAGGGCTGTTTTTAGTATTAATAGCTCCCACATCTTTCTTGTGTGTGTGCTGGCTGTTATCCCCTTGATTGGGGGTGTGACTGGTGTTGTGGTGACCAGAGCCTGCACTGGTTAAGTAGGGCCTCCTCTTTGCTCTGTGGTTATCCTAGCCCTGTTAGAGGTTGGGTCTGCTCCCCTGTTATTGGAATAGAGGCCCCCAGATCCATTTCAGAGCTATGGTGTGTGGTAGGCAGGACTGCAGTGCTTCCACTGGGTGAGGAGCTGCTGAGTATTCCTCTGCAGGAGATGTACACAAGGAAGTGCCCTCTAGTACTGCCTGTCATTCATTGCAGAGGGGTGGGGTGGGTGCTCACAAAGTACACTTTGTTGATGCTGCCTTTGTCTCTGCCTCAGCTGTGGGAATGCTGGTAACCCACTCTGGTGTCACCCAGGCTCTGCAGGCACAAAGCTGCGAGTGCAGACCTGATAGTTTCAGATACCATAACCTGCTGTTGTGCACGTGCAGTCATGCACCCAGATCCACAGCGTAGTTATTTTTAATGTTATTTTTAATGTTCCCCTTTTAACCTTTATGCTATAATTTTTTAATATACTGTTCTTAAAGTATTCTATTTATCACCTTAATTTTGTGTACTTTTGTCTTTTCATTTCATCTTGAAGAGCTCCTATCAACATTTCTCATGAGGGAGGTATGGTGGTGGTAAACTACCTCGGGTTTTGTCTGGGAAAGCCTTTATTTCTCCTTCATATGTGAAGGATAACTGCTGGATAGAGGCTTCTTGACTGACAATTTTAATCTTTCAATACTTTGAATATATCACTCCACTCCCTCCTGGCCTGTAGAATTTTTGCTGAGAAATCTGCCAATTGCATAACGCAGGTTCCTTTGTAGGTTACTGCCATTTTTAACTGGCTCTTTAAAAATTCTTTATCAGTCATTTTAACATTTTTAATGTTTATTGGAGGTCTTTTTTCATTGAGGTAAGTGTTCTGTTAGCTTTGTGGACTACTATATTTAGTTCCTTCCTCAGTTTTGGAAAGTTCTCAGCTATTTCTTTAAGCATGCTCTCTGCTTCTTCTGGAATACCCCTTAATCCTATGTTGGCTTTTTATAATGAAGTCGGAAAGTTCTTGTAGGGTTCCTTCCCTTTAAAAAACTTAGTTCTCTCTCTTCTTCCACATGAAACACTTCTATATTGCTATCTGTGAACTCACTTATTCTTTCCTCCATCTGATCTGCTCTATTTCCAGTGCTCAGTCTTTATCTCATTTATTGACTTCTTAGGCCCCAGAATTTCTTTTGTTCTTTTTAAAAATTTCAATCTTTTTGGTAAAGTACTCCTTCTGTTCATTAATTTTATCCCGGAAATCATTGTATTACTTTTCTGAGTTTTCTTGTAGCTTACTGAATTTCTTCATAACAGCTAGTTTGAATTCTTTATCAGTTAAATCATAATATTCCATGTCTTTGGGTTCAGTTTTGGTAAAATTGTCATCTTCTTCTGTGATACTGTAATATCATGATTTTTCAATAGTGTATAATAAAAAGTACCTCTGTCACTCCATTTGGAGTAGAGAACACTTTTTTAATTTAGGTAAGGCTTTGTTTACTTTGATTCTAACAGTTAAACAGGTTGGTAATTAGGAATCTTCCTTTTGTTTTTCAGAATGTGACACTATAGCACAAGTTTTTTATTTCTCTTCCCAAAGATGACTGACTACTAAGGTTGGGAGTGTGCGTGTAAGAAAAAAGCTGGCAGAGAGAAAAGGAAGAAAAAGGGTAACAGCAGGGTTGGGGTAGGTGTATGCTTGGTATTTGGGGCTTTGGGTGTGTACACAGGCTGGGTAGGGGGATCCTTGATTGTGTGAGGGGATCTCAGAGGTCTGTGGGCAGACAGCAGGAAGTGCATCCTTTCATTTCTCTTTGCCTTTTTCTTTTTCCTTTCCCTCTTCCCAGTCACTGCAAGGAGGGTAATGGGCTCCTCCAGCTGGAGCATGTGTGGCCATTAAGACCCCTCATTTTCCACCTTTAGACTCCACCTCCAGGAGGAAGGTCAGGCTGGCTGCTGGCCCACTGTTGCCCCTCCTGCCACTACGCTACTGGGTCCTCAGCCTCCTCTTAGGTTCACCCACTTTTGGGTGAACAGATGGATGGATCTCTCAGGTAGTCTGGTGTGCTCTGCAGGGGTACTTATTTGGGTTTGGGTTATCAAATTAGTTGTCAATCAATGGGGAAGGGAAAAGGAAATGACTCAAGCTGCCATGAGGGTAACAGCACCCCTCCTGACACACTAAAATTTTATTAAGGATTTTACATCCGTGTTCATGAGAGGTGTTAGTCTGTATTATTTTTTTCTATAATGTCTTTTATCAGGTGTTGATAATAGGGTATTGGTATTAGGGTAATCTTGGGCTCATGAGTTATGAAATATTCCCTCTGATTCGATCTTCTGAAAGAGACTGTAGAGAATAATTTCTTCCTTAGATGTTTGTTAGAATCTACCAGAGAACCCATCTGGAATTGCTGCTTTTTGTTTTGGAAGGTTATTAATGATTGATTCAATTTCTTTAGGACTATTCAGATGGTCTGTCTCTTCTTGTGTGAGTTTTGGTCAATTGTGTCTTTAAAGGAATTGGTCCACTTAATCTAGGTTATCACATTTGTGGCAATAGAGTTCATAATATTCCTCTATTCTACTGTTAATGTCTTTGGAATCTGTAGTGATATATCCTCTTTTGTTTCTAATATTAGTATTTATGTCCTTTTTCTGTCAGTTAGCCTGGCAAGAGACTTATCAATTTTATTGATCTTATCAAAGAATCAAATTTTAATTTCATTGACTTTTTTAAATTGATACCTGCTCTAATTCTTATTCTTTTGCTCACTTTTGACTTAATGTGCTCTTATTTTTCTGCTTTCCTAAGGTGGAAAATAAGATTATTGATTTTAGATCTTTTCTGATATATGCATTAATATAAGCATTGCTTTTGCAGCATCCCACAAATTTTGATAAGTTGTGTTTTCATTTAGTTCAAAATATTTTTAAAAATTTCTTCTTTGACCCATGGGTTGCTTAATCTCCATATATTTTAGGATTTTCCAGTTATCTTCCTGTTACTGTCTTCTAGTTCAATTGTACTGAAGTCTGAAAGCAGACATTACATGATTTCTGTTTTTAAATTTGTTAAGGTGTTTTATGTCCCTGAACGTGGTCTATCTTGGTGAATGTTTCATGTGAGCTTGAGAAGAATTTGTATTGTTGTTGGATAAGTAAGTCTTTAGATGTCCTCAGTTTATTAAGGAACCTCCATACTGTTCCATGCTGGTCACACAATTCCAGTCCCACCAACAGTGTAGGAAGGGACTTTTTACTCCACAGCCTCTCTAGTATTTATTATTTGTACACTTTCTGATGATGGCCATTCTGACTGGTGTGAAGTTACATCTCATTGCAGTTTTGATTTACATTTCTCAAATAATTAGCGATATTGAGCATCTTTTCGTTTGTCTGTTAGCCATCTGTATGTCTTCTTTGGAGAAATGTATAGTTAGGTATTCTGCCCATTTTTTATATTGGGCTGGCCATTTGTTTTTATATCTACCTGCATGAGCTCTTCGTATACTTGAGAAATTAACCCCTTGTTGGTCATGTCATTTGCAAATATTTTGTCCCATTCCATAGGATGTCTTTTCATTTTATTGATGGCTTCCTTTGCTGTGCAAAATCTTTTAAATTTATTTATAACCCATTTGTTTATTTTCGCTTTTGTTTCCATTACACTAGGAGATGTATCTAAAAATATATGGCTGCAATTTATGTCAGAGTGACATGCCTGTGTTTTCCTCTAGGAATTTCATAGTATCTGGCCTTACATTTGGGTCTTTAATCCATTTGAATTTATTTTTGCACATGGTGTTAGAGAATGTTCTAATTTAATCCTTTTATATGTAACTATCCAGTTTTCACAGCACCACTTATTGAAGAAAGTGTGTTTTCTCCATTGTATGCTCTTGCCTCTTTGTTGTAGATTAATTGACCATAACTGCATAGCTTTATTTCTGGTCTTTTTATCCTGTTCTGTTGAACTATGTGTCTGTTTTTGTGCCGCTGGCATGCTGTTTTCATTACCACAGCTTTGCAGTATAGCCTGAAGTCAGGGAGCATGATTCCTCCAGCTCTGTTCTTCTTTCTCAACATTGGTTATAGGTTTCCATACAAATTTTAACAATTTTTTGTTTCAATTCTGTGAAAAATATCATTGGCAATTTGATAGGGATTGTACTGAACCTGTAGATTGCCAGGGGTAGGCAATATGGTCATTTTAACAATAGTAATTCTTCCAATCCAGGAACATGGTATATCTTTCCATCTGTTTGTTTCCTCTTCAATATCTGATCAGTGTCTTATAGTTTTCAGACTACAGATCTTTTGCCTCCCTAGGTTTATTTCCAGGCATTTTATTCTTTTTGATGTGATGGTAAGTGAAATTCTTTAATCCTTAATTTCTCTTTGCAACTTTACCAAATTCATTGATGAACTCTATAGTTTTCTGGTAGCATCTTTATGATTTTCTATGTATAGCATCATGTCACGTGCAAAAAGTTAGTTTTACTTCTTCTTTTCCAATTTGTAATCCTTGTATTTCCTTTTTTCCTGATTGCTGTGGCTAGGACTTTCTAAACAATATTGAATAAAAGTGGTCAGAGTGGGCATCCTTGTCTTATTCTTGATCTTAGAGGGAATGCTTTCTGCTTTTCATTGTTGGGTATGATGTTAGCTGGAGGTTTGTCAAATCTGAGCTTTATTATGTTGAGGTATGTTCCCCCTATGCCCACTTTCTGGAGAGTTTAAATCATAAATGGATGTTGAAGTTTATCAAAAGCTTTTTCTGCATCTTTTGAGATGATCAGATGGCTTTTATTCAATTTATTAATGTGGTGTATCTTTGAAATAAATCCCACTTGATCATGGTATATGATCCTTTTAGTGTATTGTTGGAGTCAGTTTACTAGTATATTGTTGAGGGTTTTTGCTTCTGTGTTCATCAGCGATACTGGCCTGTAATTTCCTTTGTGATATCTTTCATTTTGGTATTGGGGTGACGATGGCCTCAGAGGATGAGTTCAGAAGTGTTCCTTTCTCTGCAGTTGTTTGAAATAGTTTCAGAAGGATAGGTGTTAACTTGTCTCTAATTGGTAGAATTTACTTGTGAAGCCAATATAGATGTCCATTATACCCGGCTGATTGATGATGATGTTTAACTGTATCCTTCCTGATTTTCAGCCTGTTGGATCTATCCATTTCTGATTCAGGGTATTGCAATCTCCAACTCTGATAAAATTGCAAAGAGAAATATGTAAATTCACTGTTTCTGCTTCACATAGTTTGATGCTCTGTTGTTAGACACACACACATTAAAATTGTTTTATCTTTTCAGAGAATTGATCCCTTTATCATTATGTAATGCCCTTCTTTATCACTGATAACTTTCCTTGCTTTTAAGTTTGTTCTTGAAAATTATATAGCTGGTCTTAATTTCTTTTAATTAGCATTAGCATGGTATATTTTTCTCTGTCCATTTATTTTAAATCTATATGTGTCTTTACATTTAAATTGGGTTTCTTGTAGACAACATACAGTTGGGATCTTGGTTTTTGATCCACTCTGACAATCCCTATCTGTTAATTGGTACTTTGGACAAATAACATTCAAAGTGATTACTGATCAGTTGTATCTATCTATCATATTCATTACTGTTTTCTATTTGTTGCTCTTGTCCTTTGTTTCTATTTTTGTCTTTCATTCTTTTTCTAGCTTTTCTAGTTTTCAACATTTTCTACAATGCCAGTTCTCTCCTTTCTTAGCATATTAGTTATACATTTTTCCACTTTTATAAATATAGCTAATCCAAGTTAACTTTCAAATAACACTTCCCAGTTAGCTTATCTTACTGTAACAAAATAATCCTAAATCCTTCCTGTCCTTTGTATCACTGCTGTCAGTCATTTCACTTATAGATAAGCATGCAAACACACATATATCTGCCTACATAAACGTTCATAACATATATACATAAGTATACATAATCAAATACATTGTAAGTGGAACAAACTTTATCTGTTAGATTAAGTATAAGAAAAGTGTAAGTTTTTACTTTACCTTCACTTACTCCTTCTTCACTGTTCTTCCTTACTTTATGTAGATTTGAGTTCTTGACATATATTTCATTCCTTTTCTCTAAAGAACTTCTTTTAACATTTCTTGCATGGTGAACCTACTGGCAACAAATTCCATCACATTAAAAAAAAATTTGGAGTGGATCTATAATCCACATAAGATTTTTAAGTTTTACTGATGTATAACTTAGATGGTAATTCCATCAATTTTTGTTTGAGAAAGTATTTATTTCTCCTTCACTTTAAAAAGTATTTTTTGGAGGGTAGAGGACATATTTCTTTCTTTCTTTTTAATGGAGGTAATGGGTATTGAACCTAGGGTCTCATGCATGATAAACATGGACTCTACCACTGAGCTATACCTTCCCCACTCCTTTGCTTTTGAAAGAATAGTTTTGCAGAGTACAGAAATCTAGGTTGGTGATATTTTTCTCTCAACATTTTAAATAGATCACTCTATTGCTTGCTTGCTTGCCTGGTTCCTGAAGAAAAGTAAGAGGTAATCCTTATCTTTGTCTGTTGGTAAAATGTTTACCTCCTGCTTTGTCCAGATTTTTTTTTTCATTACCTTATTTTCCATAGTTTGAAAATGCCTAACTATAGCATTTCTGGCATATAACTTGCTTCATGTTCTGAGTTTCCTGGATCTGTGGTTTGGTGTCTGACTTTAATTTTGAGGAAAATCTGTAGTTATTGTTCAAATATTTCATCTCTTTCTCTGTTTCTTCTTTAGGGATGTATACCTTTTGCATTTGTCCCATAGTACTTGGATATAGCGTTACTTTTCCCCCTTCATTCTTTGTTCTCTTTACTTTTCAGTTTTTGAGGATTCTGTTGATATATACCCTAGTCAGAGATTGTTTTGTCAGCTATGTCCAGCCTACTAATAAGCCCATGAAAGGCATTCTTCACCTCTTTTCCTGTTTTTAAATCTCTAACATTTTTGTTAGGATTTCTCTTTGTTTATATTGCCCATTTTTGCAGGTATCTATATCATCTCTTAGAGCCTGTAGCATATTAATTATAGTTGTAGCATATTAATTATAGTTGTTTTAACTTCTCAGCCTCAGAACTCCAACATCTCTGTTATGCCAGATTCTGATGTTTGCTCTCTCTTCAAATGCTTTTTGCCTTTCAGTATGGCTTTCAATTTTTTAAAATTATTTTTTATTGAAGTGTAGTTGATTTACAATGTTAGTTTCAGATGTATAGCAAAGCAATTCAGTTTTACATACACACACACATACAGATTTCTCCATTACAGCTCATTACAAAAAATTGAATACAGTTCCCTGTACTATACAGCAGGGTCTTGTTTATTTTATATATAGTAATATGTATCTGCTAATTTTTTTTACTGATAGCTGGATATGATGTACTGGGTAAAAGTAACTGATGTAAATAGGCCTTACTAATGTGGTGCTAAGTTGTCAAGGGAGAGGAAGTATTCTATAATTCTATGATTAGGTCTCAGTCTTTTAGTGAGCCTATGTTTCAACTATATAACTGTTTCTAAATCCCCTCCCTTAGGTGGGACAGGATGGCTGGTCTGGAGTTGGACATTTATTTCCCTCCCCCATCCTCGAGAGGTCCTAATAATCTCCCAGCAGGTGAGGTTCTGGTTAACGAGTTTCCCTTGAGGGCAGATCTTATTAAGAACAGAGTGCTCAGGCATATTTCAAAATGGTTACTACTCTTCCCTCAACCCAGAAGCATAATGAGGTTTCACTATTTACTGTGGGACTCTGATCAAGCTCTAAATCACAATTGTTTAGGGGGGGCCTCATTATGACTAGCTTTTTAGATTTTAATCCTCAGCCTTTTCTACAATGAACCTACAATGATTCACCAACCACAGCTCACTTACCACTGGCTCCCGTTTTGGGTAGTGCTCTGGTAAGCTATGACTTCCTGTATTTACTCATCTCTTCAATGTTAGAGGCTACAGCTTGCCCTCTGGCCTCACTTCTCTTATGGATCCAAGAAGAGTTGTCAATTTTTCAATCTGTTCAACTTCTTACTTGCTGTTAGGGCAGCACTAGAAACAAAGCCTCAACATGCACTTGGAAGATTCATAAAGTTATATGAATTGTTGGGTTTTAATATATCTTTAAGTTTGAAATTATACAGAGTATATTCTCTGAGTATAACAGAATTACAAATCAGTTAAAAATAGTATATCCCCCAAGTACTTGGAAATTAAACAACTTATAAATTAGTAATTAATCACTAAAATACTTAGAAAGCTTAATTACTTAGGTTGAATAAAGCTTAATCACTTTTAAAGCTAGTATGTAGGTTAAAAGATAAAAGTAGTAAAAATATAAAAGTTACGTGATACACAAGCTAAAAGGATGTAAAATGTGGCATTAAAAACATGAAATGTGGATGGGCGAAGGTGAAAATGTAGAACTTTAAGAATGTGTTCAAACTTAAGTTATCAATCTCAAAGACAAGTTGTCATATATAAACCTCATGGTAATCACAAGGCAAAAATTTATAATCTACACACAAGAGATAAAGAATCTAAGCACACCAAATAAGGAACCCATCAAATCACAAAGGAAGAGAACAGGAGAAGAAAGGAACAGAGGAACAGCCAGAAAACAATACAGAAATGGCCATGAATATATACCTATAAATTTATAACTACTTTAAATCTAAACAGACTAAATTCCCCAAAGATATAGAGTAAATGAAATAGATTAAAAAAAAAAACTCAACCAATCAACCCACCCACCCATTTATATGCTGCCTACCAATAACTTCAGATGTAAGGACACACACTGGCTGAAAGTGAAGGAACTGAAAAGACATTTCATGTAAATGAAAACCAAATGAAAGCTGGGGTAGCTACATTTATATTAGATAAAAATAGACTTTAAAACAAAGACTGTAACAAATGACAAGGGCATTATATAATGATAAAGGCATCAACTGAACAAAAGGATATAATACTTATAAACATTTATGAATCCAACAAAAGAGCATTTAAATATATAAAGCAAATATTAACAGACCCATAGGAAGAAACAGATAGCAATACAGTAATAGTAGGGGACTTTAATAATTACTTTCATCAATAGATAGTCATCCAGACAAAAAACCAATATGAAAACATTGGCCTTAAAGGACATGTTAGACCAGATAGACTTAACAGATAAATGCAGAACATTTGATACAAAAGCAACAGAATACACATTCTTCTCATGTACACATGGAACATTCTGCAGGACAGATTTTAGACCACAAAACAAGTCTGAATAAATTTAAGAATACAAGTCATATCAAGCATCTTTTCTAACCATATAGTATTAAACTACAAATCAATTACAAGAAAAAAAACCCCGGCAATTCACAAATAAGTGGAGATTAAACAACATACTACTGAACAGCCAAAGGGTCAAAGAAGAAATCAAGCAAAATACCTTGAGACAAATTAAATTGGACATACAACATAGTAAAGCTTATGGGATACAGCAAAACCACTTCTAAGAGGGAAGTTCACTGTGATAAGTGCCTATTTCAAGAGACAAGAAAAATCTCAAATAACCTTACATCTAAAGGAACTAGAAAAAGAATAAAGAAAGCCCAAATTAGTAGAAGGAAGGAAATATAGCAAAGATCAGAGTGGAAATAAATAGACTAAAAAGACAACAGAAGGGATAAATAAAACTAAGAGCAGGATCTTTGAAAAATAAACAATACTGACAAAACTTTAGCTAGACTACCAAGAAAACGGACTCAAAATCAAAAATGAAAGAGATGTTACAAATGATACAAAATACAAAGAATCATGAGACTATTATGAACAGTTATATGCCAGCAAATTGGATAACCTAGAAGAATGGACAGATTCCTAGAAACATACCACCTACCAAGACTGAATCAGGAAGAAACAGAAAATCTGAATACATCAACTACAAGTAAGGAGACTGAATCACCAATCAAAAACCTTTCAACAAACAAAAAGCCCAGGACCAGACAGCTTTCCTGGTGAATTCTACCAAAATTTAAAGAACACCAATCCTTTTCAACCTCTTTCAAAAAAACAGAAAAGGGAATGCTTCTAAACTCTATATGAGGTCAGCACTACCCTGTTACCAAAACCAGTCAAGGACACCACAAGAAAAAAAAATCACAGACAATATCCTTGATGAACACAGATGCAAAAATCCTCAACAAAATATTTGCAAACTGAATTCAAGAATACATTAAAAGGATCATACACCATGATCAACTAGGATTTATTCTAGGGATCCAAGGATGGTTTAACATCTGTAAATTAATAAATGTAATTAACACATTAACAAAATGAAAGATAAAAATCATACGATAATCTCAACAGATGCAGAAAAAGCTTTTGACAAAAATCTAACATCCATTTTTGATGAAAATTCTCAACAAACTAGGTAGAAGGATTCATCTCAACATAATAAAGGCCGTCTATGACAAGCCCACAGCTAACATGCTCAATGCTGAAAAACTAAAAATTTTTCCTCCAAGAGCAAGACAAGACAAAAATGTTCACTCTCACCACTTTCATTCAACATAGTAGTGGAAGTCCTACGCAGAACAATTAGGCAAGGAAAAGAAATAACAGGCATCCAAACTGGAAAGAAGTATAATTGTAGACGGTATGGTATTATATATAGAAAACCCTGAAGACCCCACCAAAAAGTATTAAAACTAATGAGCAAGTTCAGTAAAGTTGCAGGATACAAAATCGATATACAGAAATCTGTGGTGTTTCTATATACTAACAACAAACTATCAGAAAGGGAAACAAAGAAAACAATCCCATTTACAATGGAACCAGAAAGAATAAAATACCTAGGAATAAATTTAACCGAGGCAGTGAAAGACCTGTATACTAAAAACTGTAAGACACTGAAGAAAGAAACTGAAGAAACCATCATCAGAAAGTCTACAAATAATAAATGCTGGAGAGGGTATGAAGAAAAGGGAACTCTCCTCTATACTGTTGGTGGGCATATAAATTTGGGCAGCCACTATGGAGAACAGTACGAAGGTTCTTTAAAAAACTAACAATAGAGTTACCATATGATTCAAAAATCACACTCTTGGCTATCATATATCCAGAGGAAATTGTAATTTGAAATGATACATGCACCCCAATGTTTACAGCAGCACTATGTACAATAGCCAAGATATGGAAACAACCTAAATGTGCATTGACAGATGAGTGGATCAAGATGTGGTGTGTACATACACACACTGAAATATTACTAAGCCATAAAAGGGAATGAAATGCCATTTGCAGCAACATGGATGGACCTAGACATGAAGTGAAGTAAGTCAGATGGAAAAAGACAAATACCATATGATTATCACTTGTATGTGGAATCTAAAAAAAGTGATACAAAAAAACTTATTTACAAAATAGAAACAGACTCACATAGAAAGCAAACATGATTACCAAAGGGGAAGGGATAAATTAGGAGTTTAGCATTAACAGATAAACAAGGACCTACTGTATTGCACAGGGAACTATATTCAGTATCTTATAATAAACTATAATGGAAAAGATTCTGAAAAAGAACATCTTTATCTATATCTGAATCTCTCTGCTCTATGCCAGAAACTAACATATAAACCAACTATGCTTCAATAAAAAATTACCATGTGAAATTTTAAAAATTATTTTGTCATTCTAGAAGAAGGACCTTAAGATCAGTAAATAGTACTCTCATGGAGGCAGAGTTGAACTCATTGCAGTTCGAAGCTCTCTGGAATTAAAGTTATCCAACAATAATCCAACCCCCCCTTCCCCCCCAAAAAAGATACTGAAGATACACAAATAAATGGAAGGACAATCTATGCTCTTGGATTAGAAGAATTAATATTATTACAACATCCATACTACCCAAAGCAAATTATAGATTCAATGCAATTCTCTTCAAAATTCCAATAGCATGTTTCACAGAAAAACAAACAATCCTTAAATTTGTATGGAACCACAAAAGATTCTGAATAGCCAAAGCCATCCTTAGAAGAAAGAACAAAGCTGTAGGCATCAGGCTTCCTCACTTCCAACAATATTGCAAAGCTCTAATAGAATACTATGATATTGGTGTAAAAATACACACAGATCAATGGAACAGAACAAAGGACCTAGAAATAAACCCACACATATATGGTCAATTAATTTTCAATAAAGAGCCAAAAACCTACAATAGGGAAAGGACAGTCTCTTAACAGTTGGTGTTGGGAGAAACAGACCACT